GGGGAGGGCGGGGGGCAGCTCCCACCGCTGCATGCACCCTGGGAGGACTTGGGGGCAGGGGTGCCCCCCGGATCTGTCTGCATTGCAGGGCAGGGTAGGCTGCCACTGTGGGCTGCAGGGCTGTGCCAGGCTCTTCCCAGCAGGAGCTGTGCTCAGGGTGGGCAGCAGTGCTGGGAGGGGGCTACGGAGGGGAGTTGGAACCACCACAAAATTTTCCGTAGCCCCCCACCCCATAGACCGCTCCTAGCACCACTACCATCCACCCAGAGTGCAGCCCCGGTCTAACCACCCTGCTGGGAACAGCCCAGCGCAGCTCCCAGCCCCAGCCTGCATCAGCAGTCCGCCCTTACCCCATGCACAGATCTGGGGGCACATGCCCTCCCAGGATGTATGCAGCAGTCAGAGCCACCCCACACCCCCTGGATGAGCCGCTCACCACTCTGTCCCATGCCCACCCTGGATGAGCAGCGCCTGCCCCAGCCCCACTCCCTCCCTCACCGCGGAGGCCTCAATCAGTACCCCACCACGCCCCTTCTGTCCCCCCACCCTTCCCCCACAACAAACTTACCAGCCAGATGCTGCTCTCCAAGCTACCAGGCTGCGCTCCTGGCCGCTTGCATGCTGCAGGTGTGCGCATGCGCATGGCATTTATCAGCCACATTATCGGCCACATCAGGCAATAGTTGATTTCCAGTGCTGTCAATTTTCCCTATCTTGGTGCTGATCCAATATGGGACCAATGTATCAGTGCACCTCTACTTTTTAAACTTGAGGCACCCCTCAATAGACTCAGGGTGCCCCTCAGAAAGTGCCAGCTCTTAGCTTTCACTTGATTTTTTAAGAACAGAAAAACAATAGATTAATGCTTCTGTTGCAAAGAACTCAGAAAGACCACAGCAGGGCAGAATGTTTCTGACACGGTGGGTTCCTATTTGAAATCTCTAGGCTTATCTTTCGAATCCTGTTTGCACACCTAACAGCACTGATCTTGTGTGGCACCCCACAGCACCCTTAAAAAGAACTTGAGGCACCCTGGGGTACCACAGCACTCTGGTTGAGTATCACTGGTGTAGTGTTTCAGTACCGTACACAGATAAAACTGCCTCCCATCTAAAGTGTCACTGCGAAGCACTTCCATTACCTGTTTCATTCAGGGTCATTTTTTAACATGGTGTGGGCTGATCTAGAGTGCTGTATCACTATGTCATCTATCTGCTCATTTTTTATAATGCTTTGAAGTTGTTTGAAGTGCTGTAACTGTTATGTCTGTGCATGCCCAAAACAGGAGGGCTTAGATCTCATCTCTGTACTTTAATTTTTGCATCATTAACTTTCTCCTCCTACAAAAGCACCAACGAATAATCAACACAAGTGTTTATTCACAGCAGGAGGGTCTTTGCTTTCCAAGCAGTTCCTGGAGCATAGTAAATTCAGGAGAGAATCTGTTAGATGAGTTTTTGTGTCGGTTTTATTCCTGAATTCCTCCCCCCTCCTCACCACCCTGCATTTTAGAGTAAATATATTTCCTCCCCCTTCCTAAAATCTGATCAACATAGGTAGCAATTTCAAGGACTGCCTCTCTAACCATGGTCAAGTATGTGAATTTCAATTCACAGCCTCCCATCAAATATCATTATTTTGGTTCTTGTGGATTCCCAAGGTAATGAATAAGCCAGGTGGGGTTGGGTAGATTTCTTCTGCAGGGACACTGCAGATCCCTTTTCATTTCATGGAGTGCTACCCTTAGAAATAACCAAGGACAAAGACCATTTATGGTTAAATTCGTGCGCACTTGCTTGGTCAGCAAGTTTGGAAATCCTGTTAGCCCGTGGCTAATCCAGTTACCAGACCTGACCTGACTTTCTGCTGTCGCCTTTCTGAGTCCTGCAGTGACTCCCTGAGTCTTGCAGTCTCTCCTGGCTCCTAAGATTCAGTTTTCCAGTTAGGACCCTCCTCTTCCTTGAAGGTCTGTCTCCTTTTTCAATCTCCTACCCAAGCCCTCCACTTCACCAGCTATGGAAAAGATCAGGACAAATAAATGATGTTCTCTCCAAAATTCCTGTCTGTGCTAAGGGCCATGTAAATGTGCATTGGAGGCAGTTGTCTTTTCTGGAGAGCTTGCAATCTAAAGCAAAAACAAATAAAAGAACCAGGATCAGGGAAACTAAGGCACAGAGAAATTGTCAGGTCACAAAAGAAGCCAGTAGCTGAGCCAGGAACTGACTCAAGACTTCTACTCCAGTTCGGTTCCTTCCCTATAAATCCGTTTTCCCTGTCATGCATGAGGATTGTCAGCCAATATTAACAGGCTTCTGCCTCCGGCATCAACAGGCTGTAGTTTTATTCACAGGTGACCAATCCTGCCTCACATTTTATTATTGTGTCTCATTAATCAATTAAATTCTGGATCTTTTGAAGAATTTCTCATGAAATTATGCAAAAGGCAAGGATTTTTTGTGGGTGATTATCTTTTATTGGACCACCTGCATAGTTGGAAGAGATTTAGATGGCTTTTGAGTACAAGGAACCCTTCTTCAGGTTATGAAATGACATATAAAATGATACCACCTGTCTGCTTCTAAAGGAAGAGAAGTAGATCTGCATGCCCAGGCGTGACACTTGTGTGTATAGTGTATACAGTTAGTTCTGAACCTGTGCTTGTTGGCAGCTTAGACATTGATTGCATCTGATTTCCTTAAGAGCCCAGTCTGGTATACTAACTCTATTTGAGTTATGATTTCAAGAGGACTACTCATAGCCTATGCATGCTTCTCTATATTAGAAAAGTTATCAGAACCTAAATAAACACATAAATGATTTGTGCTGCTGTTGGCACATGGAACTATTTTCAGCCAGGTAGTATTTTTAAATAAGAAATGCTTTACATTATAATCATGGTGATGGTGGTGGTGGTGGCAGCACAAAAGTTTGTTAATTATTTATTTTGACCCTGTTTCACTAAAGTCTCCATAAACTTCTAATCAAAGGATAGATACTTATAATGGACTGTCTGCCCAAGCAATAAGAAACTTTGCCTTATGTAATTGTATGCACAAATTGGGCACATCATTGCATGTGTATTTTGTGCATTCAGGGACATGCCAATTTTATTTTAAAGCCAAACACCATATAGTTTTCCAAAGACAAATTGTTCATTGTTGTAGATTGTACATTAACCAGATATTGAAGTTTACACTGAAAGGATGAAGCCCCCCCCATTCTTTCCTCTGGTACATGGATGCACTTTCGTGTCAAAAAAATGGACATTTCTTCCACATATCTTAAAACTGAATGGTGCCCATTACATTTTGGAGTAATCATATCTAGCATACAGTGAAATCTTTACTTCTTCAGATGAAGAGAAACATCTGTTTTTTGTCACAAGAAACTGCCAACTCTGGTATGTATTTTAGCAGTGTTTGGTTCATATCCAAAAAATTTCCATTTAGCCATGATACTTTGTAACCCCCCTCCTTGACCTATAGTCCAACATCATGCTTCAGTGAGTTTGAGAATTACATAAGAAATATTTATAGTCAGATGTGTTAAATATACAGGTAGTCCTCAGACTTACGACACAATTGGTTCCTGAAAACCATGTCTTAAGTCAAAACATTGTAACTCGGAACCAATTTGCTCATAAGAAACAATGTTATAAAGAGGGATTGGTTCCTGAACCATGGCCCGATACCCTATTTTCATTAAAAATACCCCAGCATTTTGTACTCGATCAATTATAGATGAGTAATATAGCTACATTAATGTATTTATATTGTAAATAGCAATCATATTGATTTGGAAGGACTTCTTTGAGGTGACTTTGCTGGACTTTTTGAAAGGCTCTTGGTTGGAGTCTTCTCAGGAGTCTTGGCTGCAGGTTTTTTTGGAGTCTTGTCTGCTTTCTTAAAGGAAGTGTCCAAGGAAGTTTGGACAGATGTTCTCCAGGAAGGTGAGCGACACAGCGAACTTGTTCGCTGGCATGGCATCACATCAGATCAAGTGTTATAAATTCAAAACTGAGGTCATAAGGTTGAAATAGGGTGTCAATTTATAAACATTGTAACAGCGAAATGTTGTAACTCAAAACATTGTAAGTTGAGGATTGCCTGTAATACGCTTGTTTAAGGAGGTACTAGGGTTCAAACACAGTAGATGCATAAAAGTGTGCTATTTGATATTTATTGATTTAATAACTCAAAGCCCTTTTGCTGTATCTTAAGTTTTATTTGCAAAACCGCATTTGCTAGACTGTATTTTAGGCCTGTGCAAAGCGGCTAGTATTCATTTCGGATTCAGATTCAGCTGATTCAGGGGACAGTGATTTGATTCGGTGATTCGAATTGCTGTCCCAGTTCGATTCGGCAAGGCCAGGCCCATCCCCCGCCCCTCTCCCAGCCCAGCAATGGCCACTCAGGCTCCCAGCACTTGGGGGGGAAAAAACCCCAGCTCACCGGGTGCTGCCAGGCGGGGGGCGATCCCTGCTGCTCCGCACTGCCCCACGCTGCGTTGGGGGCTCTGCATGAGCCCTGGAACCCTCCCCCCCTCCCACCCACTCCCTCATGGGTGCCTGGTATGGGTCAGCTCAGCCCTTTAAGGAAAAAAAAAACCTGAAGAAACCCCGGGACTCACCGCTCATGTCGGTGGGGGGCTCTGCAGGAGCCTCCAAAGCCCCAAGGCTGCACCAGGAGCAGCGAGTCCCAGAGCTTTTCTCGGCTTTTTTTTTTTTCTTAGAGGGCCAGAGCCCCGGCAGGCGGGGC